CTTACTAGCTTAGTTAGTTGAATATTAGATTTTTTATGTTTAATTCTTAATTTGGTTATTGTCTCTTCCTTTTTTTTGTCCTTATCCCTTATTTAATAACTTTTTTATATAGTTGTATTTTGTTCGTCTTATTTTATATATTATTTGATTGTATATCGAATGAAAAAAATATTTTATTCATCTTAATCTATGTGATATTTTTTTTTAATTTTAAAAGTTAAATGAGTATTTTCTTAATTATGATCTTTTCATAATATTATAAATTAATAATTATCGCAGCTTATAATAATTTTTACTTTGTTTGAATATGTAATTTTATACTTAATAAAATTTAAAAAATTCATATCTCAATTCATAGTTAAATTAAAATGCTTTGACTTTTGAAAGTAAAAAAAAAAGGTTACATAAATTAGAATTGGTAAATTTGTTTAATTTTTATGTATATTAGTGATATTGTAAAAAACATCACATTTACTATTAAAAATCGAATTGTTTTTTTTAAATAAACTCTTGAAAATAATTGAAGTTGTATTAGCACTTTTGGCTTCTTAATTATTGCTAAATCTCAATTTTAGTGTCTGTAATATTTCATTAAGCATATTCAACTTTTAATAGATTGAGATATGTAATCTTAATTTCTTTTCTCGTGAATATTCATTTGTCATAATTATCTACTTAAAAGCTATCAAAACATACATTTCATGTAATTGAAAATTAAATACTTCCCTATGTTACTATCTTTTCCCCACTATTTGCTTTTCACAAAATTTAACAACTTATAAATATAAGAGTAATTTTACTATAACCATTTTATGAGACCCGACTTGTAGTCATTTTCTTAAACAATAACCACTTTTTATAATTAATTTATTAAACTATAGTACTACTAAATACTATTAGTTTAGTTATATAATTAGACATTAACTAATGAATTGTGCCGTTGTGGTAACATCAATTTTTTGGAAATGGGTTTGAACTACGAACAAAGTGGGCTTCTAAATTTGATAGTTTATTTTGTCTTAACAATAATTTACCCAAAAAAAAAGGAAAGGTCTAATCGTTAATAAATTATAAACTTTAATTTTTCAGATATTAAAGAACAAACCATAAGACACTTGAATCATATTGGCTATTGTTAGATACAGGTTCAGTTTGTAAACATGCAAACCACTCCTTAGCAAAACTTGATTAATTTATCTATGCTTGTCACTTATTTTTTGGTTTGGGAAACTAAAGTAAATGAGCAATAAAATTCAATATAATTACAAGCTCATGCCTAAACTCAAAATAATTCCAGAAATATCTATTTTTACAAAAATAATTACAATCTATACCGCCACCACCCCCAACTCCGTATTAATTAAGATTGATAATTTTCGCTTAACTAATATGAATAGATTTTGCTTAACTAATACGTAATCAATATTATATATTATATTGATATCATTAAGATTGATGATTTCATTTAACTAGATACTAAGTCAATATATATTTTACAATTGCAAGCTTCAATGGGTAAGAATATGCATCTACGTGGTGCTTGGGTTCAATTCCTTATGTTTTTTCGCAGCCCGCCTTTTTTGACTTGAAGGGCCTTATCATCTTAAATCAAGATGGGCCAAAAACATAAATCCAGTCTAAAATCGTGAGGAGTCAAAGCTAGAGGATATCAATATGAATTAAGAACATGTCCATATAATATATTCCTTGAAAAAGATTTTAAAAAATCACATAAATAAATCTATATTCAAGGAAAATTTGTGAACCTATCATTTCAAAATTAAGGTTATGACTATAGTTTCATTCAATTTGCCATTATCGCCTCAGTGCCACAAATTTCGCTTGCCACTCTCAATTCACTCACTTATATACAAACATAAATTTATAAATTGTGTTTGTTTTTGTATAAAGCAAGAGAAATTACGTATACAAACATATATATATGCACTATACACTTATACTAATACAGATTTTCATCTGCCCAATTATTTATGTCTTTTTTTTTGTTTGTTTTATACAAACACAAATCATACAAATATAATGTACAATTTGTGTTTGTATAAAATGAGAGATATTTGGTATACAAATACAAATATTTTAATTTAATTCAATTGTATATTAACTCGATTCAATTATATATAAAATCAAATTTTATGCGAATATACAAACACAATGATTGATATATATATATATATAGTAGTAGTTACATTTATATAATTATCTAACTTATATGCATATAAAATTCACCTCTCTCCATTCTCTGTCATTATTCGCTCGCCTCTCTCTCTTTTTCTTTCTTTTTTAATCTCGTTCGCTATTCTAGCCTAACACAAAGAACATATGCATATACAAACACAATTTGTATAATTACGATTTATATAAATAATTTACTATGAAATGCAAAATACAAATTACATTTGCTATAAAACGCAAATAATAAACATGTAACTATAAAATGCTAATATAATTTAAAAACATGCTATTCCTAAAATTACTCTATATTCTACCCTCAGTTAATTTAATCATCTTCAAGTAGGATTTTGATCTCAACTTATCAAATTTATTAATTACTTTTAAAAATTTTAAAACTTGAATAATACTTTTTCTTTTCAAATATTTTCATTTTCGCCATCAAATAAAAAGAAATAGAGAACTGATTTGCATAAGATTCTCGTCAACACACGTGTCCACGAGGAAAAACACAAATCGTAAAAGAACTTTAATATAACTAGCATACGAGATAGTCACTTAAATTTATATAAAATTACATAAATAAATAAATAAATCTTATATGATCTAATAACGTATGATATCATGTAAGTTATAAATTTTATCATATAAAACATTATGTAAAATGTATATTTATTTATTTAATTTTATATAAATCTAAATATGTAAAACAATATTATTTTTTTAAAATTGAGTAACAAGACAGAGAATTATCGACTCTTGATACCATGTGAACAAATGTACAGAAACCATGATAGCTACCTTGTTTAACGAGCTTGCCGCACACTTACCGATTTATATAGATTTTAATTATACTCTTTCAAATAAATAGTCCCTCAATTATAGACGTAGGTTAAAGTAATTTTAATTATACTTTTGTCTAATTTAATTTTTTATCTATCAAGAAATTTATTAGTTTTGATCTCTTTATTTATATTTATTAATTTAGTTTTTTATGTATTTAAAATTTATCAATTTTAATCTTTTAACTATATATTTATCGATTTTAATTTAAGTATTGAAAATTATTTACTTTGCATTTACGGACTTTAGTCTCTAAAATATTTAAAAATTTATTATGTTTGGTCTTTGTTTATTTTTCTAAATATAGCTTATGCTAATAGTAATAAAAAATTTTGCGAAATCAAAATTTATCTCATTTTTTAAGTTATTTTCTTTTGTCCGCTATTTTTGTAGAAATTAATTTCTTATGAAAAGAACAGTCATCTCAACAATTCATAATATAATTTAATTGATAAAATAATACAAGTCATAATTTTGTTCAACGAAAGTTAAAATGAAACATATATTATTGCTAATGACTTGAAGTATTGTGTTCCTTCTTTGGCTGTTAACCGTTCATAATCAACACAATTTTTAATTTTATTTTTTCATATAAAAGAAAAATAAAAAATCGAATCATACTATTCAAATTTCTCTACGAAAAATAAAATGAAAATTAAAGAAAAAACTTTAAAAAAATTGCAACTCTTACCATTTTATAAAATTCAAGTCCTCAAAAAATCGAACAAAATTTGAATTGAATGGGCAATAATCTTTTTCTTTTTTATAATAAGGTTTGACATATTTTATTAATAGCAATAATATATTTCCTTTTATCATTCGTTGAATAACATTATCATTTACGTTTTCTTTTCTTATGAATTTTATTTTGAATTGTTGATGTTATAGTACTTTGCATAAGGGTAATTTGAAGAAAAGGTAGCAAACAATGTATCAAAAATGATCTTAAATGACAATTAATTAACGAAAATAATTCAGTTGTCACTAAATATGTACTTTTAGCGGCAATTAACAACATTTATATGTGCACCTAAAACTTTTGATTAATGAGACTTAGCTAATGCCGATAGAACCTTTAACACTCTTTATTAATGTGTCTATTTATTACCGTTAAAAGTTATTTTTGTTGTAATAGAGAGGAAAAGATAGAGAGAATTGAAAAAATGGCTAGGAAATTTAATTTCTTGAGACATAGATTTCGTTAATATAAACCTAAGTTATTTGTATAAAAAATAGACAAAGACTAAATCTAATAAGTTTATAAGTTTTTAAATAACTAACATCGATAAATATATAATTAAATAAATTAAAATTGATAAATATATAATTAATGGATCAAATTTAATAAATATTTGTATAATTGAAAGACTGAATTCAGTAAAAATTTAGTTATGAGATCATTTTAGACCTATTTTCTCTAACAAACATCATCCCTTTTAACACTTGTTAGACATTATATTTATTATATAATTTTTTTAATAATATAGTTAGATAATAATTTAATATTTTATTTTTTAATAATTGATTTGATTTAATTACACTATTATTTTAATGTTTTTATTTGTCTTTATTCATCATTTAATAATTTATTATATTATATTTGGTAGTCTATCGAAATCTACACCTATTTATTGATTATTAAAATGTGAACCCCAAGATCTCCCTTGGGGGGCTACTCCTATTATTTTCTAAAATAAAGACGACTCCCGCTTTTGGTTCCAAAAAAATATTTTTTCTATCAATTTTTTTCATTCTTAGTTTTAAAAAACAATAATTAATTTTAAAATATTTATTTTTTCATAAATATCTATCATTTTTAGACTAAATATTTTGATGTTTTTTTTAAAATAAATTTTGTATTATCAGACTAACTATAGTTTATAAAATGAGATAGTTGGCATATAAAACGTGCTTCAAAAGTGTAGCCATCCCAATTATTTACAGTTGAAAAAATCTTCTATATACTTTCATATAAACCAGAGTTTCAGCTTAAAGCAAAATTAGCTAGCAGACACCATGTTCTCTTCAGATGAAAATCTCTTCAACTTTATAGTTTTCTTCATTCTTGTAATGGCATTTCCCACCTTCATCTTATGTCAATTTTTCACTTCTCCTTACGGCAAACACTACACTTCAGCTGATTCAGGTACCACTATTTCTCCACCAATTGCGTGGGCTTTCATGGAAAGCCCTACGCTTTGGCTCACAATTATCGTATTTCGATTGGGGAAAAATTACACAAATCCATTAGCTTTTCTCCTAATTTCACCTTACCTCTTTCACTACACAAATCGAACAATCATTTACCCTCTTCGCCTCCGTAGCAGAAACACAAAGAACAATTTCCCGCTGAATATTGCAGTTACAGCTTTTATTTTCAATTTACTGAATGCTTACATACAGAGCAGATGGGTTTCTCATTATGCTAACTACCAAGAAGACGACTGGTTTTGGGTTAGGTTTGGTATTGGGCTGGTTATATTCGGGTCGGGTATGTTGTTGAATATTTGGGCCGATGGGGTTTTGTTGGGCCTGAAGAGTCAAGGAGGTGGATACAAGATACCGAGAGGTGGGCTTTTTGATTATGTGAGCAGCCCAAATTATTTGGGAGAGATAATGGAATGGTTGGGCTGGGCTTTGATGACCTGGTCTTGGGCCGGGCTTGCATTTTTTGTCTACACCTGTGCTAATTTGGTTCCTCGAGCTGTTTCGAATCATAAATGGTACCTGCAGAAATTTGGAGAAGATTATCCTAAGAATAGAAAAGCTGTTTTCCCCTTTTTGTATTGAAATTGTTGTATCGTATTGTTGATTTAAATGCAATGTTTATTTTAGTTGTTGTTTAAATTTAATTGTATTGTATGGCTAGAGTCATTGTTACGGTGTGCATCCATGTTTTATTATTTATCCTAATTCTTTAAATAATAATTTTACTCGGACTCTATTCTATTTTTTTGATAGATTTTTCTACAATATCGAAATAATAATGTCCAAATATTATATATATCAAGACAATATATCATGAGACAATTCTTCATTTGCTAGTGCCGAATGGATATCTTTGTTTAATAGTTAAGCTTTTTTAATATTAATCTTTACATATAGTAATCCACTTAATTGAAGTTGTTGATCGATTTTATTAGTTAAAATATTTAAATTTTTTAATACTTTCACAAGTGAATTTATATTTTAAGACTACTATATTCATCTTAATAAAATAAAACTGCCTAATTTGGATGTACTAGAGAGCATTATATAGTTCTAAAGCAAAATACAGAACTGATCCATGGATGTTTCATCAATCAAATACAAAACAAGTGTTTCAAAATGTCCTTAATTGAAGTTGTCAATCGATTTTATCAATTAATACTTAAATTTATTAGTATCTTCATAAGTGAATTTGTATTTTAAGACTATTGCATTCATCCTAACAAAACAAAAGTATTTAATTTGGATGTAATAAAAATCAATACATAGCTCCAAAGCAAAATATCAGAACTGATCGATAGATCTTTCATCAATCATAAACAAAACAAGTGTTTCATAATTTCTAAGACTAACTCTATATTCGTGTAAAATCTTTCGAGCTTATTATATTTTATACCTCGTCGTAAGCGATTCCTAAAATTATTGCAAAATTTAGGGAAAATGTCTAAAGTACGTTCTTACAATTCGAACTCTTACGAGGGGTGAAACGATAATTTGAAAAAGTAGAGGGTCAAAATGACGGGTTTGCCAATCTGGTACCCTGATTAGGGTTTTAGATATAAGAATCCCATTTTCCCCTATAACAGTGGCTGCTTATACCTCTGTTCTTCCCCAATTACAACCAAAGTTGCTGAATCAAATTGAGGAATCAAGATGGATAAGAGTATGATCGGAGACTTGGATTCACTTCCTGAAGCAGATAAGATCAGAATGGCAGCCATGATTGAGCAGCTCCAAGTTCGTGACAGGTTTATTCCATCTCTTCAATTATTTTTATTTGCTTATTAACCAGTTTGATTAAGAAATATACCCGAAAATTCTCCCCTGTGTGGGTTGCAGGGTTGCAACAATTTTGATTGTGGCCATGTCTCTATTCCCGCTTTGAAAGTATACCGCTTTTTGGTTTTTGCATATAACAATGGATTTTGTAAGCAGAATGTTAATATCATGCAATTAGCTCTTCACTAAAAAGCTTCTTTGAACATTTCATATCGGGATCTATATGGAAATAAGGATCCTAAACCATTGATTTATTGCTTGCTCTACCATAATTGAGTTTCCACCACCGGCTATATGCAATTAGCTCATGCTTATGTTTTCTTAGCAGTGAAAAACTTTATTTTTTGATTTGTAGTAAACTTAGAGTTTAGACTAACATGAAGCGTATTAATCTCTGGAGTGGTGAACTCTTTCTTATTTTCCAAATCTGATAATATATTCTGTTCCCTTAATATTCAAATAAATACATAAAGTATGTGGTAAAAAATGTTGGTTTTAGCAAGCTTGAATCAATATGTTAATGTGAATTAGGTGGTTTATTCAGCATGTTATTAGCTGTGATAATACTATTATGTCCCACACCAGTAATGCAGTGCTAGTCTTATACTCTTAATTGTTATCTAGTCGAATACTACTCCAAAGTCATATCAAGTGGTGGAGGGTAGGAAAGAGCAATATATTGAGAATGGAATTGGAAATTGATGATAACACTGGGGCTTCATGAGCATTAACCTTTTAGATTGTTGTAGTAGTGATAAATGAGTTCTAATACACTTAGTGTTCCCCACTCAGATTTTGACAAGGGTGGACCCTTAAGGTAACACTCAACCAAAAGAAAGCAAGCTTGTAGCATTGCTTTGATATTCCCTTTCTATTCTTTTGCTCCAAAAATTATTTAAGCTAATTAATTAAACCACTCAACCAATTAATGCATTTATTAATTAATCCTTAATTTGCAAATGCAGAAAGAAAGAAATTTTCTGGTATTTTTTTAAATAGCAGATGCAATTTATGTTGAGAGAAAGATTATAAATAAGTGAAAAATAGAACTTCAGGAGAAACTAAAATAGAGGAAAATTAGGTGTTCACACTTGGAAACAATCCATTGAGTAATGTGTTGCATTCTTTCTTAATTTCCAAAGCTGATATTATATTCCCTTTCCCTCAATATTTAAATAAAAATAGAAAGTATGTGGTAATTTGTTCCAGTGTTGATTTTAGCAAGCTTGAGTCCATATGTTAATGTTAATTAGGCGATTCAGTCAGCATGTTGAAAGTTGGGATGATACTCGTATGGTCAGTGTCAGTTATGCACTCAAAAAGTATTCAAAAAGTTGTGAATCTAGCCATTCTTAAGGTCATAGGAAGGTTGTAGGAGAGGAAAGAGTAGTATATTGAGAAAAAAAGTTGGAAATTGATGATAACACTTGGCTTCACAAGCATTAAGTTTTCTTGATTTCTTATTTTAGTGATGTTTATGAATAAGAGATTACTGATTAACAAGGGTGTTTGTAATGGCAGTAAAAAGAAATTTCCTCGGTAACATATGTTCCTAGTAGAAATTTGAAAAGAATTGAAACGGGATTGAATTTTGTTACTCTCTGTTGCAGTGTAATGGCAGTAAAAAGAAATTTCCTCGGTCCAAGTAGAAATTTGAAAAGAATTGAAACGGGATTGAATTTTATTACTCTCTGTTGCAGTTAGTACTTTGTCTGTTGTGTTACAACTCTAAAAGCCTGGTCTGTTTTGTCTTTAACTACTGCAGCTTGAGAATGTATAATTCTCTGGTCGAAAGATGTTTCACGGACTGTGTAGACAGTTTCAAACGCAAAACTTTAGACAAACAAGAGGAGACCTGTGTCCGACGATGTGCTGAGAAGTTCTTGAAGCATTCTATGCGTGTAGGACTGAGATTTGCAGAGCTTAACCAAGGTGCACCAACACCAGACTAAGACGCTTCTGTTATGTGCCTGCAATTCAATTTCTCATTATTGTTTATTGTGGGTTAATCAACAAGGACAAGTAGTGGAAGTTCCTTATTTTGGAAAGTCAACAGCTCTCCTCGTTGTTATTGGTAAAATGTACTTCTACAGTTAAATTATTAGAAACTTGAATAGTAGAACTGGATCCTGTAACTGATTGCAGGCCACTTGCTGTTACGATAGCATTCTTTTGTTGTGACGTTCTAGTAAAATAATGTGGTATTCAACTTCATCAAGGAGATATATCTGTTGCCTTTTCTGTTATGATAACAATTTTTGAACTTGAAGTTGAGAAATGGATTTTTGCTGAAATGATTAATCTTTTGTCTATTGATCCTCTTCTTGTTTCCTCGTACCTCCTCCTGCCTTCAAATTTCTTATCTTTTGCCTGTCTAACTCTCTGATAATGTCATATTCCGAAACATCGAATTTGCCAAATAAGATTAGTAAGGTTGCTGCTTGTGGCATGTCAAGATGGAAATTAACCTGTCCATCACTTATATGATGTTCATCTGCGCCAAGTCGAAAATGTTGGTTTGTGCAAAATTCAGTTATTTGACATTTGATGGGTTAGTAGTTGCTTGTAATTTTGAATTTTGAGGTGAAATGTTGCTTTATTCTAGTTGTCAATTGAATGCTAATGTTTGTTTCAGTTCCAAAAAAAAAATAATTTTCAGCAATTCTAGAGATCACCATTTCTCCTTTTTTTCCTATTCAAAGTGAGTGATCATTGGAGGCCATTTCTTTGAAAAAAGCAGCTTTCAGTTTTTTTTTTTATTATTATTCTATGAATATTTTTGTGATATGTCTGCTAGACTTTTTTTTTTTCAAAATCTTTATGCAACCCTCTATAGGGAATTGGGAGTTCATAGGCTATTTTACTTTAGGTGAATCTTTCAGTTTTTCGTGTGTGTTAGCCCATGAATATTGCGATGATATGACTTTAAGAATTTTTTTGCTAAACCTTTTGGATCCTCCGTAAGGAGTTAGGGATGCAGTACGTGCACATATTTTAGATATTTATGAGTCAAGTTATAGAAATCAGGTCATATTTGCTGAGACCGCCTTGCACTCTCAACCCGCTCCACTCCATTGCCAACTCTTAACTGAGAAATTTAAAAGTTGGACTTCAGAAGGAATAGAGAGTAGAAGAAAAAAAAACTCACAATGGCATCAAGTTGCTACATCCAAGGTACAATTACGGCAGCTATATAAATAGCACGTAGCCAAGTATTTTACAAAAAAAAACAAAAAACAAAAGTCAACATAACTTCCACATTTTAAGAATATAATACATCTACGGCTTCCTACATATAAAAAAAAGACATTCAGGAGATCGAAAAATCTATTCCGATATCTTTAATTAAGAGAGAGATATTCACGCATTCCATCACAATTCTCGACACATGGGTCACAAGAGACATAAATCGAAAGACGCGGAAATGGAAGTTACATTAGAGAGAGTCCATGTAAAACATGAATGGAAACATCAGCACATGTTATATATCAGTATAAAAATATATTCATAAACTTAGGCAGTAATTTGCCATTACATCACCATAATAATAAACAATATGCAAGTAAAGCTGCGGGCTACAATTTCCCCCCTAAATTTGGTCCTTTTGTAGCCACTTCAGCCTCTATTAGCTTTACCAACACCCAACTTAGATAAAAAGAAAAAGTAGATAAAAGAGTAACAAAGCAATTCCCCAGAAAGTTGATAGTAATTCAAAAGAGAAAGAAACAAATCCCCGCGACACTTTCCCAGATAAAAAAAGAGAACCATTGAAGGCGGGAAATTGTAAGAATTTTTCTTTTGTTTTGATCAGGTCAGTGTAATTATTTGGTGAAATTAAACGCGGAAATTCTTTCCCTGGAAAGTTTGTCCAAATTGCCAGTTAGCTGGTGCAATGTTGTAGGAAGCAGAGCTGCGTCGATCACTAGCAGTGACTCTAAAAGAAAGTGCTTGTCCGACTAGTTTTGCATTTGTTTGCCAATTCTGACCCCAATTACGAGTCATTGAAATCCATGGCGTGTTTGTGCCTTTAACATAAACCTTTTGAATGTCCCCTGCACCTGCAACGTTGGTGACTAACACTAAGTTAAAGTATTGGAAACCGTTGACTGTGAATCTGATTCCTCCTTGTTTCCTGCATGGAACCCTGTAAAACAGACTTAGCATTAAGAACAAATGCACCAAAAATGGAAAAAACGCGTTGCAAAATATAGGTGAAGAGTAGTATTGGGGGACCATTTTGTAGATAGTAATGAAGCTATACCATAACTAGGAGTTGTAGGTTTTTGGTATAGCAAGACTATGTCCATTTGCTAAAATTGGGAAGAAAATAGGACCACACCACACTAAGGAAAATATAAAAACTCAACAAATCAATAACGGTTTTGCTAAAATTGGACATGTTAAATCGAGAAAATGTGGACGCTAGCTGTAGTAGTTCCAATTTATGTGATCCAAAAAAAAGGTATACAAAGTGATAATATAGGGAAGCTCAAATTAAATACAGCAAAGTTTAGTTTAACTAATCCAAAGCATAATTTGGTATGAAAGGAAGATTATCATTTACCACAATTCAAACTATTATATTTAATTGTGCTAATTAGGTAACGAACCTTCGGTAGTTGACAGCAACAATTCCAGCACGGTACACAGCAATTTTGAGGAACATGGGCATGGCGAGGTCGAAATGTGGGCGAGGTGGGTTACACCAGCCTCCATTATCGTTAGGCAAGGCGTAGTTTGGTGGGCAGAAATTGGTTCCTGTTACCAAGATGGAAGGGTTTCCAGGGTTGCAATATTCCTTCTTACTGTCAGTACACTTTATCTCGAAGCAAGCGCCGCAGCTCAGACCATTGTTGAAAAGTGCCGTACTCAATGCCGCGTTGTTTACTCCGTACCCTTGGCTGTACAGATTCCCATAACCACATGCACCACCTACACATTGTAAATCCATCACTAAAATTAACCTTCTAAAATAATCTGAAAACAGAGTAATGGAACAAAATTCAAAGTTTAGCTAATGTTTCACAGTAGATTTTGAATCAGATTTTAAAATTTTCTTCAAATTTATCAAGTTCCGAAGAAATTTCACTTTCCAAATTAAATATATGTTAAAATACAACTTTGAAAACTCAAATTTCAAAATATATGGCTTAGGCTTCACGAGTACCAAAATATATACAGTATGTCTAGATTCAGAGACAGGTACAGTACCCATGGTTCCAGAAGCATCAGCGCCTCCATAAAAGGTGGCGTGGGCACTTGTCCAGGGTCCGCCGGTGTAAACTCCGGCAATTTTTGCGTTGACAACAGTTAGAAAACAGAGAAGAGTAGCAATGCAGAGTGCCCAATTCACAGCCATTTTTGTCACAGTGTAGTGTTTGTTCACTGTAAAAAGAAAACAGAGAGAGAAATGGAAAATGGAATTTGAGCAGAGAGAGAATTGAGAGGGAAAGGAAAGTGAGGTGCGTATTTATTGAAGAGTTGCAATGGCAATGTCCGTAATTAAATACTACTACTCTGTTTTCGTTTAATTTAAAATTTTATTTCCTCTTCTTTTAATTTATGTTTTTTTCCAACATTAATAATTCTTCACTTTTTTTCCCCCCTCAATATAGTACGAATATTTCAAGAACAAAGTTTATTAGTACGAAAATTGTTTAGTTGATTCCCACCTCAAAATATTATACAACTTAATTTACAAATACAAAAATATAAGATGAAATTAGTGGTATTTATAAATATTAAATTTTATATAAAACATTTCCTAATTCTTATATAAATTTAGAGAATAGTTTTCTAAAATTACTTGAATGATATTTGTACATATAATATAGTCTTGACCTAAATAAGACATATATCTCTCATCTAAATGTGCACTTGACGAAATGAAGTGAAGACAACATGGAGAGAAGGGGTAATATGTATGAGAGTTATAATGCTTGTATATATTTATCATGGTTTATGCATGTATAATATTTTTCATATTATTTCACTTATCGGGAGTGAAAAGTTATAAATTTTGACAAATATATACTTTTCCGTTATATTGATATAAAAATAATCACAAGATATATCATATTTTTAATACTTGCGAATATTCATTAAATTTGAAATAAAAAAAGAAATTATTTTTAAACGGAAGATATAATTGCGAAAACATATACGGTAAATGTAATGTACAAGAATACATGTGAGGTGAACGTGGTAATAAGAATAGCTAGAGCTATCTCAAGCCAAGGCACATGGAAACATGGTGATGGAGTAAATGAAATGTGTGCTAATGATTCATGCTTAAACTTATGGCAAAGCCTAAAAGATACATAGGAAGCTTTAAGTTCTTGATTTCGTGTTATCAAAACTACCTAAACACTACCACCATAGGATTTGGTCATCGTTACATCTTCTTTTTTTTTTAATCAGAGATTTTCATTTCAAGTTTTGAATATGATTTTTTTTTAATAAAAAATATGCTTTTCTATGAATAAAATTCTACATAATACGAATTTAAATTAACTGAGAGTCAATATATATATATAGATACTGAATGTGAATACTAGAGGAAAATAAACTAATCTAAACACTAGTGGAGGTGTGAAACAAGTTGCTATAGTAATGTGATAGGTAGTTTTTCAAGTACTTGAGAGTACTAGTATAGTTGCTAATAGGATCCCAATTGACAACTTGCAAACAATAGTTAATTATAGGGTAAAAGTTGATTCACACCTAAATTTTACATCATATTAATAAATGAATATTATGTATTTGTACATATATATATATATTATAGCGCTTAATTTAATTAAGTGATTCTATATATTTAAAAATAATAATAAAAATAATATAAAATCAATATTGTATAATCATGAGGAAAAAATTGAAACAAGATCCTAATTGTAGGCTACCAAGTATTAGAATTTAGATAAATGAGATGCTATTGTTATATATATAACTGAAACCATGTGATCTTGCTGATGTCATGATATATATTTCATATTTATCTTGTATATACCATATAATAACTTATTTTCGTAAATTATTAATGAATTAACTAATTAATGGTATGATGGAGAACAAATTTTTCTTTTCTTTTAAATCAAAAATTTCAAATTCTAATTTCTATAGCGTGTCTTTTTGAACTAGATTCAGTCAGATTCCATTATGGGTGAATTCTTTTCTTTTATTTGTTTTGACAAAAAAACTCTAATCACATAAAGTTATATTTGTGGTTATTAATTAAAAAAAACTTAAATCTTTTTTTCCTGAAAAGGAAATTAAATACTCTTGTGAATTGGATAATTAGT